ATACCAAAAATATACTGAAAATATACTGACTATAAACCCTAACTTCAAATCTTTAACTGCAAAATATACCGAAAATATACTGACTATAAACCCTAGCTATACATTTTTAACTATTACATATTGTCGATTTTTTAATGGTATATATCTTTTTAATCGTTTTTAATGGTATATATATGTCATTTTTTAATGGTATATATATCGTTTTTTTTTTTAACATTGATCCTCTGAGAAATATACCGAAAATATACTGACTATAAACCCTAACTTTAAATCTTTAACTGCAGAATATACCGAAAATATACTGACTATAAACCCTGGCTATAAATTTTTAAAGTCATGAGAAAAAAACATGGAAAACAATAAAACATGACTAATAATATACCAGAAATAAACCACATAGTTTTCATTAAACATTAAAAATAAATAAAACCTACAAAGTGTAGACTCAGAAAATCAACTGATGAACATAAACAATGATGTATATCTTTGGCAAGCAACAAACAAAATGATACAAATAAGCAATTCTCATTCTTCACAAAAAACTAACAATATACTGAATAAAATCAATCCGACCGAAAGCGAGGACACCCTTCCTCCCAAAAAAACTAACAATTCTCATTCCTCCCATTCCCGACGAGCCCACGGCCGTAGCCGCTCGTCTCCGAGTCAAGCGAACCACTGCCGGTCAAAAAGCGAGGACACCGTTCGTCTCGTCACGCCGCCTTGGGCAAACTCCATCAGTGCTCAACCCTCCGCCGCCGAATAAATCGCTCGAGTTTCCACCGCCCTTGGATGAAGTTGGTCGTCCAACGACCCCGCCACTCGCAAGCCGAAAGGAAACCGAAATTTCCGGCTGGATTTTCCAATAGTGGCCTTGTTGCAGAGGATCGTCGAATATGTTTTTTTCGAGTAGAGCTGGTGATTTTTGTCTTCGCAATTGAAGGAGAGGTTGTCTGCAGAGATAGAGAATTAAACATGGGGCGGTGGGAGAGAGAGAGAGAGGAGATATATTGGTCCAAGTATTTTGGTAAGTATATATTTAATCTCAATTAATGATCTCATACATTATTAGTCCACATCTTAGGTAAAATTGTAATATTTTTTGCTTGATTTAGTATTGTTATAAATAAAAATATAAGGGTTACATATATGTAATATAAATCATATTTGAAGGTGCAGGGTGTAATTTCTTCTACATTTTTTCATACATTTTTTCTTGATAATTGGGCCAAGCCTTCAATACCCATTTTGGGCTTGAAAGATTGACAAGTATATGAGGTCCAGCCCGCCATTTTCATGCAGAGCCCACTCATTTCCCTGATATTTCCACTCAATATCAAATCACATATATTGTGAAAAAAAAAACGTGAATAAAAAGAAAAATCTTAATTCATGCAAGACACATTATTTTTATAATATTAATATAATAATTAATTTATTTTAAAATTATATTTTCTTAGAAATATTATAACCAGTAGCCGATGTAAAATTTGCCAATTCACATTCCATAACTAATAATTGAATTTATATTAAATATTAGAAAATAAAATCATGTAAATAAGGCATTTAGGTTATATATCAACTTTTTTTTTTTATTTAATACTTTTATTTTTTCTGGTGTATGATGTTTGGTACTAGGTTGTCTGCCACAAGAGTAGCATAACAAATCTTTCTTGATTGTATAAATTTAATCAATAAAACAATATTACTAAATGTTAAAGCCAGCTATGTCTATTTTTAAATATGAACAAAA